AAGTAACCGAGTCTCCACACATACATCTCAGTAACTTTAGGTTCTTTTTGTAGACATCAACTTTCTGTTGAAGGAGTGACCGCAGACCTCCATTCACATTTTCCCCACCCAAGTAAGAAGTGATGACATTTATTTGCTCAGCAATAAACGTGACAAATCGAAGCATTTCTTCTTTCACCAGGGTCTGTTCCTCCTTACATCTGCCTTCCAAAGACAGCAAGTGTACCAACTTTTTCTTTATATCAGCTGGCACATTGTTGGTATCATTTGAAAAATGAAGTTCACAGGATAGGTCACCGCCTGGATCTTGAATGTCCTCAAACGTGACTACCTCATCTTCCATCAGTCTATTCAACGTGGCAAGCCCCTGATTCATTGAATTCACCACTTTGAATCTGATTGGCCAATTTTATCGCAATGGCTAGGCCATCTGAAACGAAAGACTTAGTTAATAACCTGAAAGTTCTTGTATTTCAAAACGCAACCCTGGAAGCCACCACATTTAGAATAATCTAATACATTTTGTATATCCCCTAATCTCTTAAGTCAGGCTTTGTAATGAAGCTGAAAGACGACAATCAATACTCGGCACTCCACTAAGTCTTTAGTTCATGGAAAGGAATCTACTATTAACCTACACAACTTGACAACTGTGTCTGTTCATGCAAATCAATGAAAATGGAAAGCGTTGTGGAGGTCGTAATTACAGTTGAGTTGGATGAATTCTTCGTTTTCTGTGTTATAAATATCTAAGTGCTCAAACACTCAACTCTCTTGTCAGAGAATAATATCCTGACCTGGTGAAACCAGCTCAATAAAGTTTGAGACTGCATCTTACATAAAAAGAAGTAAAGACCTGCATGTTTTGTTTTTAACTCCAAGAGAAAGATTCTTACTGATGCCATCTTGTGTAATCTCACTACTTCAATGTCCGCTTCTTTTTACTCAATCGCTGCTGTGTAGTTCGAAAGGTAGCATCATTTTCTTGCCAGCGTAGTCTGATGCCATGCTTTATCTCCAACCTCAAAAGGGTGTTCTCATTCCTAAAAAAGAAAAAACGGTGCTCAGACTCAGTGCAATATTAGAAAGTTCAGCATGCAAACAACTTAACATAGGTTGTTAAATAAAACAATCAGCTGTTGAGGTAGGCCAGGTCTTGGAACCTTCCAGTCTACTCTGATGTGTAAACATTGCTTTTACTCCATAAACAGCTGTGACCAGTTTTGGGAACCACTTTCTAGTCTTTCCTTCATTAAAGCTACACAAAAACTGAAAATACCTTGACATTTTTCTCTGCAGCATGTCTACTTGGGAAGGTTCTTGTTCTTTAATAGCATATGCAATCTGGGATTCTAGTTTGGAAGCTGTCACCAAAAGCTCAATATAGGTTTCATCCCACTGAAGAGACAAATCTAGAACAAATATTTACAATGTACTAGTAAATACTAACATACTAGAGACGGATGCTATTCTACAGCAACAATTTACTATTAATGGCACTATCATTTAATACTAGTACTTACAGCGTACACATATATGAAGTCAAATCCTAGTAAGTTCACAAGCTTAAGAGCCTTACAATCACAAGATTATGCTACTGGAGGATGACATTTCACGCTCTCATTTCATTGATAAGGTCACTGGGAGTTCAGTGCCTGATCCTAACAACCCTTACATTCATTTGTACTTTTGCAATTGACAACCTTTATTTACAGTATAACCTACCTTTTTCTCTTGGGACTATCTCTGCCATTTCATTGTCCATCCACTGCCTTACTGTGTCCAAGTCACACCCATCTGAAAAATAAATACCAAAACACTGCTCACAAAATGCGGTTACTTTA